ATTATATATTTGATCAATTAATCTGATATTTATATTTATTTGTTTCATGATATACTAATTCATTGTAATTTGGCACTCTCCACATTAGATATTAAAAAACAATACATTAGTTAATCTGAAACCTCTTTACTGACAAATACATGACACCATTTGTTTCGTTTGTTGTTGTTTTTGCATCTGAATGGAGTCTGTGTGACTTCATTAACTGATGTGCACTGAAGATAGACAGTCAGTGGTACTGAGGCTGCTTAATCTCAGTAAGTGAAATTTTTACTCAACTTCCAGCAGAGTCCTGGTCAGTAGCCTGACAAAGACTCTTGTCTCTTTATTTGTGTCAATGAGAAGAGACAAATATTTTTAAGCAAAGAAGAACTTGTTCAGAGGACCAACTCAACTTACTTTTAGACTTTTCCACCTGGATTATAGAGATGCATCAGGACACTCTGTCCAGACCAGCTGTTGGTTCAAATATAAGCTATATCTCCAAACTGAAGTTGTTCAAAGAACTACAGTATTTACCACAGGAAAGATTTCATTGTTTCTAACTTTTTTCTACAGAATCTCAATTGAAAATGAAACTGCTACCCACCGCTGATGATGTGACAACGGTCATACTGCTCGTGGTCCCGCATGTCCAGCAGTAGGTAGGGGCAGTCCGGATACGGCACGTTAACTGGGGCAGGGCTGGACACCAACTCACTGGCCTTGTGCTGAATAACTTCATCTATATTCAGCTCTCCAACACCACTGATGACACTATGAACAAAAGTCAGAGGCTCTAACTGTTAATGTGTTACCTGCTTTTTTTACAGTTATTATTACAATATAATACAAGAAGACTTTAAAACAGTCTTCTTCAACTGCTTACATTGGCTTTATTTATAACGGCCATCTGCACTGATAAGAAACTGTGTTTTAGTACAGGGAGTCAAATTTACACCAACACCAGCCTTTTTTTTTTTCAAAGTTGTTTTTTAATTATTTTTAACAAACCACAAACAAAAAACAAACTAACGAACACACCCCTGAGAACCCTCCCATCCCTCCTCACCTATACTGGATCTACTAACAAAACATACATATATCTTGTATTCATATATCAGACAATACAAGTCACAGGTTTGTGTACAAAGAACTAATATTTGACCTTTACACAAAGTTATCTGTGGACATTTTTTCCATGTAGGATATAAATGGCTGCCAACACCAGCCTTTTATAGGGATAGCTCTCCAACAGTAATTTGAAAAATATTTTGATTGAATTTATTTACTTGAGAAAAAGGGGCAGATATAATAATTTTTTTCTTCTTCTGCTACCCTTCATTTAATTTAATTTATGGTTTGTATTTTTATTGTATATTGAATTTATGTTGTTTTTAAAGAAATGAATAAACAAACTTAGTAGAACTTGAGCTGGTGTCACTACCTCACCTAGATGAGGTAGTTCAGCAGAAGAAATCTACAAACTGTCCACTGGACATCATCCCTACTGTGATGTTCAGTCCTTCGATCAGTGACAGCTGGTGGAATTTTCTCCAGGTGGGGCTACAACTCCAAAATAGACGTATCCCAAAAAGCAATCAAACATGTATTAATTTGTATCACGTCAGTGTATTTATTAAACAAATGACAATAATAAAACAGCATTACAATGTCATGTAGTGTTTTATTTTTAGTACATAAATTTTGCTCTTCTGTTACTGAGAAGCAAATTTCTTCATGACTCTGGTTGAAGTCAGGGATGTTTGAACCAGATTCTTATAGAGCATGGTCAGTGCAGTGAGATGTGATGTACCTGAGGAAAGTCTGGATTCTCTTCAGTGTTCAGCTCCTCTCAGATTCAGCTGTGGTCAGAGGAGATGTGA